TTTCTGGCAAACGCATGCACCCTATAGCAAAAACCTCTCCAAATAATAATAATAATAATAAATAAATAAATAAAATTAAATAATAAAAAGATTTTTTTAAGTCTTTAGGGGCCAGCAGGTGGCATGGTGGTTAAGGCACTGGACACTCCCACATGGCTGACCATGGTTCAAGTCCCGGACCTGGTGGCTTGTTCCCTCTCTCTCTGTCTCTCTCTGATGAAATTAAAATAAATTAATTAATAAATAAAATTAAATTTTAAAAAGTCCTTTCCATACTCAGAGGTACAAAAAACCCACAAAGTACAAACATTCACAACAATGTGACTATATTTAACACTACTGAACTATGTTATAGTGAAGACAGTAAGATTTGTATGTTTCTTACCACAATTTTAATAAATTTAAACCATAAACTTAAAATAAAACAAGACTCAGAAGTCTGAAACAATACATTTGTCCTAGTATCTCCAATACCACTCCCCACAAGAACCCTCTGTCTAGGGTTGCAATGAGCACTGTTTAGGGTCATGCTCAGGGTCCCAAGGAATACTCCTTTCCTGATAGCACAAATGCTACCATACCCAGTGGACACACCATAAATCCTACTCACTCTTGGGGAAGTCTGCTTCCAAGTCTTGTCCAGGCTCATCCAAGACGTTTGCCATCTTGACAGCCATGGCCAGGACATCATCTCTAGCTGGCCCAAACAGGTCGCAGTCTTCCAGAAGTCCCTCTGCACTTTGGTTGCTCACAAGATCTGGGAGGCAGAGAAGTTCACTCAGCCACTGCTGCTCCTGCCTGGCACCCTTACAGTCTTTCAGTACCTAATCTCAACTATCCCCCTATGCCACTAGTATCCAGATGACCACTCTCCACCCCCATAGGCAGAGACAGACCACTAGTACCCTATCTTCCTCATCGCTCCTGTCCATGGCATACCACAAAGGTCAGATGAAGCTTTGTCTAACTCCTCAGCCTCTGCAATCATTTCTGCCATAGCCAGGATGTCGGCCTCCAAGGGGTTGGAAGGGATCTTCACCTTCAGCTCTTCAATGGTCTCCACAATTTTATCTGTGCTCTCCAAGGTAGTGGGCAAGAACATGGGCACAGGCACCTAGAGGCACAAATCCCAACAAAATGCTAAGAACCGTACCAGTAGATGAGAGAGACAGCTGATGAGAATAAGGCAAAGGAGTGGCTCTCAGTCCTCAAAAAGTAAAGGAAGACCTGGCTGGGAAGGGCAGGGAACTTACTGGAATAGGCATCGAGAAAGGCACCGGGACTTTCTGGCAGTACAGATGCATAGGCACTGGCACAAAGATGGGCACTGGGATGGGCAGCACAATCACCTGTGGCTTCCACTCTTCTGCTGGCAAGAAAAGGATCTTCTCAGAAGCCTTGCTAGACAAGTCACATTCAACCTGGGGCCTGATGCTTGCCTGTCACCCCCAAAAGCTGTAACATGTGCACAGTATCACAAAACTGTTCTTGAACCAAAAGGTGAGAATCAACCCTATGATTCTAGAACAGTCAAATGCATGATTCTTTAGTCACCTAAGAAATTCCCTTATCCAGCTCCTGACCATAGGGCTGGAGGCCTAGGACTCTGGAATATAGCATGTGGCATCGAGGCACTCTAGCTCACCTGTCTGACTCCCTTTGGACTTCATCTCTACCTTGCAGGAGACTCCCCGATTCTGCATCAGCGGCTTACACATGGCAGCTTTGTTTTTGCGGGGTGTCACCAGCTACCATACACTCCTCCGAGATTATCCTCCCTCATGGCTCTTGCCCTGACCTTGCCCAAATTCCCATTTTCCTCTGGGGTCCTCACTGTGTTGCTGTTTTCCACTTTGGTTTGAGAGGGTGCCTGGGGCTTTGACTCAGGAGACTGACCTGTAGATCAAAACAAATGAATGCTCTCATGTGAAGCACTAGCTCTGTTTCCTTGTCCTGTTCCAAGAGAACTTCATTAGGAGGTACACCAAATACAAACGGGAGTCTTGGATTTCTCCTCCTCACCATCCCAGGTCTAATATTCTCTAGGCCCTTGCAGCAGTGGCTAGGAAGTTTTTTGCTCCTAACTGTCAGGAAGAATGAAACATTGCATTCCCCACCCCTAAAACCCACAATTTGAGAACTTCCATGTAGATGACCCTCAGGAGTTTGGTATCCCTGCAGTTGTGGAGGGGTGGGATAACACTCTAGAAACAACAGGCTTCAGTCTCACAAAAGGAACAGCTTACGTTGGGAACCAGCAGTTAGCGTAATGGCTATGTCGCTGGACTCCCATGTAGTCGACTGCGGTTCGCGTCCTGGACCCGGTGGCTTAAAACTCACGCCGGGCACGTGTGCGTGCGTGCCCAAGATCCCGAGAGGAGAATGGAGGAGAAGGGATTGCGGCGTGACCATCCCCCCTGGGGGGTGATTTCTTGCTTTCTGTCTCTATGTCTCTCTCTGTCTGTCTGGCAAGCGCACACACCCTATAGCGAAAATCTCTCCAAAAAAAAAAAAAAAGGAACAGCTTACATTGATACTTCCCCTACCTGGGTGGGCACCCACTTCCTAAAAATACATCCTTTACAGAAAATCAGGAGAATCTAATTCCAATAAGTTTTAATCAAGACTCCTCTACCTGCGGTGTCCAGAGGCTACCAGACACCACAGAACTGGAGGCTCTGGCAAGGGACTTCAGAGAAAGAAGAAAAAGGCTAGGTCTAGGATTAGAAGAGACCTGGCTAATCCTAACAGAATGTTCCCCGTGTCCAAGACTCACTGTTCAGAAGGCTCTCGGGCCCACTCTGGGTATCCAAATTGGGTTGGTTCTGCTGGCTGTAGAAGCGTAGCAGACACTGTTGGTTGCAGAAATGACGGATCTGCCCACGCCAGTGGATAGTCTCTAGCAGCTTCCCCTGGCGCTTACAAGCATGGCACCGGGCAGCCTGAGGGCATCAACAAGATGGTCAGACCTGCCTCCCTAAAACATGTTGGGCCTCTTCCCCTGGAATAACCCATGCTGCACCCCTTGGAGACGGGGCCAGCTTAGAGACTGAAAATTGGCTCCCCTCCCTGGAGATCTGCTCACACCCTGATGCCAGTACAACAGTCTATGCTGCCTACTGCTCCCTCGCTCCTTCCTAACGTGCCGACCCTCCTTACTTACCTTGCAGTACCATAGCAGGTACTTGCTCTTACAGTCCTCACTGCAAAAGTCCCAGGTGCTGCCATCCAGCTGTTCAGTGACGCCACGCTGGCAAGTCTGGGAGCAGTAGGTACAAGTGATACAGCACAAGCCCAGCTTCTTAGTGAAGTCTTGTTTGTACAGCAGCACACAGCCTGGAGAGAGGTGGGGAAATAGAGGAAGGAGTCCAGAGACACAGAGATATCCAAGGGCATGAGACTCAACTTTTCTTCTTTTAAAGAATTATTTTATTTTTTTTTTAAGTTGACCAGAGAGAGATTGAGAAAGAGAGAAACGGAAAGCGAGAAAGCAATCTGCCAGGTTTCACCAAGCAGTTTGATCCATGGTCAGCCATGTGGGAGTCCAACTCCTTAACTACCATGCATCTGCCCACCCCAGCCCTTTTTTCTTTTAAGTTCATTTATATATTTCTTCCATTGGATAAAGTTACCCCCAATAGGGTCTTCATTCCACGATCCACTCTCAGCATCGGCCAGCCTGGACTGTGAACTCATACTTGTGCCCATATGTACAGGGAAGCCTCAGGATGTGAGCCTGGGGCCTTCCCATGTGGGTCTAGTTGTTATTGCTGTGCCATCATCTGGCCCCAAGAACCAACCTTTTTAAGGCACTACACCTGAAGTCTAGTCTGCTAGTCTTCCCCCAATCATCCCATATAGTAGTATAGGTAGGGGCAGAGCATCTGGAGCAAATGGCCTTGCTCCATGGACCACTTTTTAAGTCTTCCCCCTTTTCCCTGGCTGTGAGGCCCAATTTCCTTACCTTCACTGCAGAAGCTCTTCTCTACCCCACTGAACCGGAGTTTCTCATGCAGGAGTTTTTCCTGCCGGCAGTGCTCGCACTGGGACACCACACCCCGAAGCCGCTTGAAGTCCTCACAGCAATCACGGCAGCAGAACTGGAACACCTGGTCCTGAGGTAAAGGAAAAGGGCAGGAGGGATAGAGCTAAGACATCTGGACCTGGTAGGGGCCAGGCAGAAGGGTCCCTTCTGACAGATGTCTGGCTGTGCGGCAAGATATGGGTGGGGGTAGGGGTCTTACCTGCCAGTCCAAGACCTCAGGCTTGCCACTGAAGAGGCTGTGGCAGTAGTGACAGCTCAGGTGAATGCCCCCCTCAGGGCTTGTGCGCTGGAGGGAAGGAAGACAAGTAAGGGAGGGGCAAGGAGTGTGCAGTGGTGGTGGGGAGGGGGGTGTTGGGCTTGTTCTCTGCTCTGCCCAGGCCTACCTACCCCAGTTCTCCTACCCTTTCTCTGTTGCCACACCCTGTATCCCTGGTCCAGGGTCTGAAGTACCTGGAACTTGGTCCAGCAGCTGGGGCTGCAGAACTGGTAGACTGTGCGATCAACCTTGTTGTAGTAACAGGGGTCAGAGAGGCTGCGGCGGCAGAAGCTGCAGGGTCGGGGAGGGCCTGGGGCACAGAGAGAAAGAAAGAGGGAGAGAGAGACAAAGAGAAAGAGAAAGAAGGAGAGAAAGAGAAAGAGCACACGGAAGGTGTAAGGCAGTGTAGAGATGGAACAGAAAATCTACGGGAAGATGTGGTAGGGGCTGAGGTTGGACAGCAGGGATTATTTGGAAGAGGGGAGTATGGGAAGTAGAAGGAAGGCCAGCAGGGGTCTCAGAGAAGAGGGCTTTGCACCTACCAGTGAGCCCTGCCTGCTTCACTTTGTAAGAAGTGGTACAGCACAGGGAACAGAACAAGCTGGTCTTGCCATTACGATCCACATGTGATAGCATCTCAAAGTTCTTACACAGGGTCTTGCACCAGACACATGGGTACACACGTGTGTTTTTCTGTGAGGATGGGGAAGGAGAGGCTGAGGCTGGATTTGTCCCTTGTCTTTTATTTTTTTAACTTTTTAAACATGAAGTATTTCAGGCATACAAAAAAAAGTATAGAGTATAGATGATGATATAACAAAGACCTGTGTATCCACCAGCCAGCTTCAAAAATAAAACGTAACAGATACAATTCAAACCCCCTTTATTTGTTTTATTCTGCCCAGCCTTTGACCCATCGGGCACCTTTATTTATCACCCAAGAACCACACCCCCCTTCCGCAGCCCTCTAATGCACTACTCCCTCAGCCCCACCTTCTTGTATGCCCCCAAGCAGGTTGTGTTGCAGAACCGCTTTTGTTGGCCCTCGTGGAAGAGGAGCTCGGGGCCAGGGCTCCCGGTCTTGGTGTAGATATAAGCCCCACACTGGTCACAACAGTTGGTTTTCAGTCCCTTGTTGGCCCGGAATTTGGAGAAGCAAGAATCGCTGCAGAGCCGGTGCACCACGCTGCCATTGCTGACCTCATGCAGGACCTGCCACACACAAGCGCACCCTGAGCTAGGTCCTGGCCACCACCACCCACCCCGATATACAAGGACAGCCCCCCACCTCACCCTAGACCTTCACAGCAGACAGTGGGCCCAGGGACCTCCCAACCTGCACATCAGGCTGCCGACTCGATGGTGAGGTCCAGGGAGACAAGGAAGGCCAGTTGTGTACATCCTGGAGAAGCTCTATCCTTGGATATGCTCCCCTCATGATAGCTGCCTTTCCTCCCACTCCCTTTCTCCACAGGGCCTGGCCCCTGAAGCCCCGGGATCAAAGGGGCAGGTCAGGGCTGGCCAGGCTCTGTAAATCAGCCCCCACCAGGGATCCTCCTCTCTCCAGTCTT